ACATGTCTCATTTATTTAGATGATATTATTGTCTTCAGCCGCACATTTGATGAGCATTTATTGCGGTTGGAGGCCGTTTTTGCCAGAATGCGTTCTGCTAATTTGAAATTCAAGCCTAAGAAATGTCATCTACTGCAACGTTCCGTTCGATACTTGGGACATATTGTTAGTGCGGACGGGGTGGCCACGGATCCAGAGAAAACTGCGTGTGTCCGGGATTGGGCAACCCCCGCCACGGTGGGTGATGTGCGTCGGTTTTTGGGGTTCGCCTCATATTACCGGAGGTTTGTTCCGAATTTCGCTACTATCGCCAGGCCTTTGCATCTCCTTACTGGGAAGGGGCACAAATTTGTGTGGGGACCGCCGGAGGAGGCGGCGTTTCGGAGCCTGCGCGACCTACTGGCTACTGCGCCGACGTTGGATTATCCGGATTTTGAACATCCCTTCATTCTGGATACTGATGCGAGTGACACCGGGATTGGGGCGGTGTTGTCCCAGTCAAAAGGTGGTGTTGAGCGTGTGGTGGCGTACGGGAGTCGGGTTTTGTCTCCCGCGGAAACTCGTTACTGCGTCACTCGCAGGGAACTTTTGGCTATTGTGTATTTTCTCCGCCAATTTCGACCGTATCTGTACGGTCGGTCGTTTATTGTCCGAACGGACCATGCGGCCTTGCAGTACGCTCTTAAGATGGACCAGCCATCCGGACAATTGGCGAGATGGCTGGACACGTTGCAAGAATTCTCCTTCCAAATTCACCATCGGAAGGGTGTGCGTCACGCTAACGCGGACGCACTGTCCAGGTTGCCGCAACAATCCCCTTGTGCGTGTGCGTCGGGGACGCATAGGTGTGGACCGGCTCAGCCCCCCCCTCAGCCTGTCGCGCGGGCAGTGGATGTTCTCGAACCTCCGCTTACACCGGGACCGGTTGAGGGGGGACCGGCTGACGGGATTTTGCGTCTTCCAAGGTCTGTGTGGATTCGGGAGCAAATGTTGGACGATTCTTTGGTGTCGTTACGGAAACGAACGGAGAAGGCGGGTAAGGAAGTCGGTGCGGCTGGTAATTCGGAAACTGCTCTCCGAAATGGGTTACTGATGTGGAGGGAAGGGATACAGGAACACTGGCGTCTCGTTGTGCCTGCGTCATTGCGCTATGAGTTGATTCGATCCTTGCACTGTGACACACTTTTACACCTGGGGGTGCAGAAAACCCTATTGACGCTGCAACGAGACTATTATTGGCACGGCATGACGACGGATGTCGTCGGTCACGTTCGCGCGTGTCCCGATTGTGCCCGCCGTAAGCCGCCTAAACATCCATATGTTCCGCCGATACAATCGATTAAAGTATCTCGGGTTAATGAGTTGGTGGCGTTAGATATTTTGGGACCCTTTCCGCCATCAGCTAAAGGGAATAAGTATTTACTGGTGGGGGTGGAGTACCTCTCTCGCTGGCCGATGGCCTGGCCCTTGCCTGACCAGTCAGCGGCGTCTATCACGGACGCCTTTCTATTTGGGTATGTAATGGACAAAGGGGCTCCGGAGAGGCTCCTTACGGATCAGGGACGTAACTTTTCGTCTAAATTGTTGGGGGAGGTGTGTGCGGCTCTTGGAACTAAAAAGATACGGACGTCCCCCTACCACCCGCAAACGGATGGTATGGTGGAACGGTTGAATCGGACTCTGTCTGCCATGCTGTGCCATACAGTCGGGGAAAACCAATCTGATTGGGATTAGCATATCCCTGGGGTGCTTTCGGCGTATCGCATGACGCCGCACGCGGCTACTGGATACTCGCCGTTTTTCCTTATGTACGGCCGTGAGAACGTGCCGCCGATTCATGACCAGTTGGGAACCGGTGCGAGGGGGCCTGTTAAGCCTCTTCCTGAGTATATTAAGGACAACGTTCGGCGTGTCGCTGAGGCGAGGGAAAATGCCCGCATGGCTACTGCCAAGGCTCAGGCCAGGAATGAGCGGTGTGCCCGACGTTCAAAGGGGGAGTGTCCCTGGAAAAAGGGGGACCTGGCCTGGCTTCATTGCCCACAGGTGCGGCCAGGTACATCTCCTAAATTACATCGACCTTGGCAGGGTCCGGTCCGCCTCATTGAGGTTCCCAACCCACAGTCGGCGCGTGTTCAGGTTGGTGCACGGCGTTGGTTCGTGCACACGTCCCGGTTGAAGCCATACATTGCCCCACGGCCGGATGCGTCATCTCCCCAAGTTGCCTTGCCGGGGTCTGTTGCTGCCGACTCGCCCTTGCCTGTGTCTGCTGACCTTGCGAGAGCGCCTGTCGTACCCTTCACAGACAAGCCGGCCGTGACAGCGCAGGGAGGAGGACCTTCCGCTTGTGGGACGCCGACCGGAGCCGCAGAACCCACGGGACCTGCAGCTCTTCCTATCCCTCCGCGGACGCGAGTACGGGATGTTTCTGGACGCGAGCGGGACAGTGGCGGGCCTCCAATGGCGACGGAAGAACTTGCGCCCGTCGCCCCTAAAACCCTTCCACGTTCCCGCTCGGCGGGTGGGCCGCCGACCGTCCGGGACGGCCCGGCTACCCGTACTCGCTCGAAATCCCTCACGTTTCGTTAGATTGTGTTGTGTTGTGTTATTGTTATAATGTTCTTCAATGCTTCGTGTCTTTTGCGTGTTGGCCCTTTACACCCGCATTGCTTTTCAGGTTGCAATTCAGCCGAGGTCGGCTGGATTTTCTTTAGGGGGGAGGGTGATGTAATGCGGTTGTAAACGGCCCTTCTGAGGTGCCGTCAGGGGGGGAGGAGTTAGGTCACGTGGGGGGAGAGGGGTTGAGTATAGAAGGAGGGGAACCGGAAGAGCAGGGAGAGTGACTGGGAGCCAGGAACAGAGGAAGGCCACGTAGGGCGAAGCGGGGTGTGGCGAGATCGCCACGAACACGGGGGAAGCGAGGATCGGCACCGTTGGCCAGCGGTGACCGACCCGAAGCAGCAAGGAGGCTGCAGTCAGCAGCGGGGCTGCACAGAGAGAGTGGGCAGCGGGTCTGCATACAGTGACAGCCAGAGGGTCTGCACATAGGGGTAGCAGCGAGTCTGCAGGGAGGAGGTTACAGTAGATGAAGCAGAGAGTCAGAGGGGAGAGGAAGCTATAATAGCAGTGAATAGCCGGGGGCTACAAATACAGGAGTTATAACAGAGTGCCGTGTGGGTAAAGACGTGAACCTGAATAAAGACACGAAGACAGAAAGAAGTGTTCGAGTCCTTTTATTACACAGAGTTAGACTGAAAAAAAAGACTGATGGCCTTAATCTAAGTTGTCTTGTGGTTGTTGTTGGTTGTTTGACTTGCATCCCACTGGGATTTTTGCACACAGTGTTGGTGTACGGTGCTTTTTATGCAATATTTTTGCTGTCTTTTTTTGGATTTTCTGTTTGCACATAGTCACTTTAAGATATTTTCTTGTTCATGTTTTTTTTGTTTGTTGCGGTTGCACCCGATTCAAGAGCCGAATGGCTCACAAGGCTATACCTAATAAATGCAACTTGAAACTTGAAACACACACACTTCAACTTACACACACACAAACACAATTTCACACGAAAGACAAAGATCAACTGTACTTTTATAGCCTTAACGGAGTTTTGGGGCAAGTGGTGTTTAGTGACCAACTATGAAGGCCGGATGGTTGCACATAACGCCCGCGACTGAGTTGACCTGTGGGCAGAGCACAGAGCCAGGTCACGTAATCGACGTGGGCTGTGAACGGAAATCGAACTCTGGCCACGAAGTTCAGAGCGCAGCGCGCTGACCACAACGCTACCGGTCACTCTAATCTTTGACAACACACACGCGTGCACACACACGCGTGCACACACACTAACTTAGCCACACACACACACACGCGTGCACACACACTAACTTAGCCACAGACACACGCGTGCTCACACACACACACACTAACTTAGCCACAGACACACTTCCCTTTTAACAACAAAGACAAATATCCCCCGTATAGTCTCAACAGACTGTTGGGGCAAGTGCTGTTAGCGAGTAGCACCTATTAATGCCGGACACGGCACACCAGGGGGTGAGTGGACAACACCACACCCGGCCGCCTTTGTCTCCCCAGTGGCGATATTTACACATCGCACGAGGAACTCATTTGAGGCTGAGTCGACCTAGGGGAGGCCCAGAACCGGTTCGGATAACCGTCACTGGTGATGGCCGTGAGCGGGAATCGAAGTCGCAGTGCGCTAACCATTACACCACCACTCCCTACACACACACCAACACGCACACACCCACACGCTCAACAACAACAACCGCCATTTGCCACTAAGTGGCGGTGACGTCACTACGACGCTTGTGCCAGGCTAGGTGCATCTTGAGGCCATGTGAACTGTCGAACGCCCGCTGGCAGGAGGTCACGGGGCAGACCCAGGTGCCGCGGGTCGACTGACTGAGACGACTGGCTGATGCACCAGCTGTGCCCCCTACTGTGCCAACTTGCTGTGCTTTAGCCACCCGGCGTTGTTGTGAGCATCGCTCCTCCGCCCTCTGTTGTTGTTGGAGGGCGACTGCCTCCAAGTGCCCAGTAGCTGCGTCCTTCACGAGCCTCCTCCACCGCTGGTACCAGTCATCGGCAAGTCCACTCAGCTCCACACAAAGATCCCCCGTATAGCATTAACAGACTGTAGGGGCAAGTGCTGTTAGCGAGCACCTATGAAGGCCGGAACGGTACACGAGGGGGTGGGTGGCCAGCACCACGCCCGACCGCCTTTGTCTCCCTAGCGGCGATGTTTACACACCGCACCAGGTACTCATTTGAGGCCGAGTCGACCTAGGGGAGGCCCATGACCGGTTCAGATAATCGTCACTGGTGTTTGCACGTGAGCGGGAATCGAACCCGGGTCGCCAGGTTCGTAGTGCAGCGCGCTAACCACTACACTACCGCTCCACAAGCGCACACACCCACAAGCGCACACACCCACGCACCCACTCAGCTCACGGATAAACAAACACAGATAAGAGAAGTCAGAATACCTCGCCCGGCGAGACGAGCACGGGTCCCAAGAGCGGGCAGCGGACGACAGCGAGACAGCCCCCGACATGTCTACAGACCCGAACCCCAACTCCTCCAGCCGTCATGAGAAGGTGAGAAGTCTGCTGTGCTCATGGAAGTGGAATGGTTTCGGGGTTCGAGAGCGATGGCTACGATCCCGGTCCGACGCGAGTTCGATTCCAGCTCACGGCCACCAACGCCTGTGACGATTGTATCTGTGTCGGGTCCCGGGCCTCCCCGAGGTTGACTCAGCCTCAAGTGATTATCTGGTGCGATGTGTAAACATCGACACTTTGGAGACAAAGTTGTCCGGGCGTGCTTCTGGCCACCAGCCTTCCTGTGCGCTACTTCCTTACGGCACTTGCCCCGACCATCTGTTCAGCCTATCGGGGGCCACTTTGTTTTTGTTTGAACGGTGCTACGTGGGATTCAGTATATTTCTGCGCACGTGTGTGTGTATCTATATTTGAGAGCATTCTGAGAAGACGGTGGAGACTGCCTGGAACTCTCCAGCCCCACCAAAACAAAACTCTCACGCCGTCAAAGACTCTCCCCCCCACCCCCTCCTCCTCCTCAACTCTCCACGGGTGACCACTGCGGTGCTTGTGGAACGGGTACAGAAAGCCCCCGTACCTGGGCAGTGTGCCCAATGCCAGCTCCCGTGGTGCCGAAGCAGAGATTTCACTCCGGATCACAGGAGTGGCATTATCTTTTCATCGGTTTGGAAGCTGCCCGACATGCCGCTCCATGCGAAGAGATTGGTCTTGAGCCAGAGTTAATGCCCCCTGCTTTGTATGCTTGCAGAACGCGGATCCCTTCATAGGAAACACGCTGTCCCTGCAGCTTGACACATTCAAGCTGGCCTGCCTACGATACGCATCCTGGGTTTAACCAGACAGGATTGTATGAGGAGCTCACAGATCATTTGAGAGATCTGGACACAGTCCCGTCAGTGAGCTCCTCCGACAGACGAGGCTGTTGGCTCGGTTATGGAGCCCGCATTCCCAGCCACCGCATGCCTCAGCGTATTTTGTTTGGCCAGGTAGAGAGGGCTAAATGGGTGCTGCAGAAGCTAGAGAAGAGATGGAGTGATGTGATACAGGAGGATGTGGAGCTGAGTGGACTGCGTTTTTTGGTTTGGCCATGTTTGTTTGTTGTAGTACAGAGTTAGACTGATGGCTTTCATCTAAATTGTCTTGTGGTTGTTGTTGTTGTTTGACTTGCATCCCACTGGGATTTTTGCACACAGCGTTGGTGTACGGTGCCTTTTCTGCAATATTTTGCTGTCTTTTCTTGGATTTTCTGTTTGCACATAGTCACTTTAAGATGTTTTCTTGTTCATGTTTTTGTTTTTTGTTTGTTGCGGTTGCACCCGATTCAAGAGCCGAATGGCTCACAGGGCGATACCAAATAAATCAACTTGAACTACGCCACTGATAATGTAGTCACTACACCACTGATAATGTAGTTACTACACCACAGATAATGTAGTTACTACACCACTGATAATGTAGTCACTATGCCACTGATAATGTAGTTACTACGCCACTGATAATGTAGTTACTACACCACTGATAATGTGGTTACTACGCCACTGATAATGTAGTCACTACGCCACTGATAATGTAGTTACTACACCACAGATAATGTAGTTACTACACCACTGATAATGTAGTCACTATGCCACTGATAATGTAGTTACTACGCCACTGATAATGTAGTTACTACACCACTGATAATGTAGTTACTACACCACTGATAATGTAGTCACTACACCACTGATAATGTAGTCACTACACCACTGATAATGTAGTTACTACACCACTGATAATGTAGTTACTACACCACTGATAATGTAGTCACTACACCACTGATAATGTAGTCACTATACCACTGATAATGTAGTTACTAGGCCATTGATAATGTAGTCACTATGCCACTGATAATGTAGTTACTACGCCACTGATAATGTAGTCACTATGCCACTGATAATGTACTCACTACACCACTGAAAATGTAGTCACTACACCACTGATAGTGTAGTCACTACACCACTGTGTGGGTGGTGGTGATGGTGGTGATGGTGGTGGTGTCTGTGATTGACAGAGTAAGGGGGCACAGGTGGTGCATCTGCCAGTCATCTTAGTCAGTTAGCCCATGGTCTCAAAGTGCACCTGGCCTGGCACAGGCGCCGTGGTGACGTCACCGCCACTTAGTGGTGAATGGTTGTTGTTGTTGGTGGTGGTGGCGGTTGTTGTTGGTGGTGGTGTCAGGGCTACGCTATGAACCTGGCAACTCGAGTTCGATTCCCGCTCACGGCCAACACCAGTGACGATTATCTGAACCGGTCGTGGGCATCCCCTAGGACAGGGGTCGGCAACCAAAATAACAAGAAGAGCCATTTCTTTCCAATTCGGTACAAAATTCAGTATTTCAAGAGCCGCAATGCATCTGAGTACATACTGTACATACGTACATATCGTCAAGAAGCAGCCCGTAAAGAGCCGCATGCGGCTCCGGAGCCGTAGGTTACCGACCCCTGCCCTAGGTTGACTCAGCCTCAAACGAGTTCCTGGTGCGGTGTGTAAACATCGCCACTCGGGAGACAAAGGCGGCCGGGCGTGGTGCTGGCCACCCACCCCTCATGTGCCGTGCCGGCCTTCATAGGTGCTCGCTAACAGCACTTGCCCCGAGATTCTGTCAAAGCTATACGGGGGATCTTTATCTTTGTTGTTGGTGGTGGTGGGGGAGGAGGAGGAGGGAGGAGACGTGAGTTGTATTTTTCTATTGCCAATTGAAGTCACCTGGGACACGCGGGTTTGGTTGCAACGTGGGGATGAGCGACCCGCTGTGTTTACTGCAGGCAACTGCCGCTCTGGGTCAAGGTTCGATCTGAACATTCGAACCTCCAAACCCGGCGGTGGTGGCCACGCTGCTGTTGCACGTGACTGCCTGTCGCCCAGCACTGTGGCGGCAGCAGCGAGGGTGGGTGGATCACGCACGGATGACGAACTCCCTTCCACGTAGGCACGGAGGAGCCGTGTCCCTGGCTCGCCGGCAGAACGCAGGAGAAGCAAAGCGTGGACCGATGCTTACCCGTCCCCTTCTATGTGGGATAGAACGTTGCTCCCTCGCGCAAGGCGTGGGTTTTTTTTTCTTTCCCGAGCGCTCCGTTGTCCTCCGCACGTGAACAAACACATTCCTGCGGAGGGAGCTGGTAGGAACGTTGGGTTGCTCGGTCAATGGCCAGGGTCAACGGCGGCGTGGTGTATTCCGCAAATATGCCCGACTGTGAGGGCGGGCACAAGCCGGCGTGAGTCGGTTAAACGTTGAGTTTTATAAGGGCACCACGGGGTGACCAGCCCCACCCCACCCAGCCCCACCCAGCCCAGCCCCTCCCCACCCAGCCCCACCCTCCCTACCCAGCCCCTCCCCACCCAGCCCCCCCCTGCACGACGGACGGACGGACACAATAATCCCCTGTGGGCTGGTGTAACCAGGAGGTTCCTACCATTGACCGAGCAACCCAACGTTCCTACCAGCTCCCTCCGCAGGAATGTGTTTACAATCACTGTGTAACAAAAACAATTGTTATTCCTGGGTAGTAAGTGTTATTTCTAATTGCTTAGGCCTCAAAAGTACAGAAAGTTACTATTTATTCTCCACAAACTTTGCTTTTGTGATCATGACAGTGATATTTTGAAATGTACCTATCGTCAATGACAAAACGCGGTGTGCATTTGTGTCATTCCTTCACGTAAAGTCCTGGTCACAAAAGCAAAGTTTGTGGAGAATAATATCCACTTTCTATGCTTGTGAGGCATAAGCTATTAGAAAATAACACTACCCAGGAAAAAAACTATTTTACATCGTGAATTAGTATTCTTAGTGGTCATGCTAGCCAATAGTGGAGGGGTTGCCCTAGTAGGTATATTGTTTTTGGTGGGGAGCGGTGGTGGGGGGGAGGTTTGGGCGGTGGTGGTGGGGGGTGGTGGAGGGGGGTGGTGGTGGGGGGTGGTGGTGGGGAGCGGTGGGGGGGGGTTTGGGCGGTGGTGGGGGGTGGTGGTGGGGAGCGGTGGGGGGGGTTTGGGCGGTGGTGGGGGGTGATGGAGGGGGGTGGTGGTGGGGGGTGGTGGTGGGGGGTGGTGGTGGGGAACGGTGGTGGGGGGGGGGTTTGGGTGGTGGTGGGGGGTGGTGGTGGGGGGTGGTGGGTAGCGGTTCTCGCTACGCTGCGCTACGAACTCGGCGACACGAGTTCAATTCCCGCTCACGGCCACCAACACCACTGACGATTATCTGAACCGGTCTTGGGCCTCCCCCTAGGTCGACTCAGCCTCAAATGAGTACCTGGTGCGGCCGGGCGTAGGTGCTGGCCACCCACCCACCCGCTCGGTGAGCCGTGCCGGCCTTCATCGGTGCTACTCGCTAGCAGCACTTGCCCCAGCAGTCTGCGCAGGCTATACGGGGGATCTTTGTCTTTGTGGGCGAGCTCACGAGCAGGCGCGGTGGCATTGTGAACGCGAGACCACGAGCCCGTGCCCACTGCCTGCTGCTGCCGCTGCCGCCGCTGCAATCGGATCTGCCACGATGGTTAATTGATGGGTTTCCTCCACAGCGATGGTCGCGCTCGGTGTAAGCTGAGCGCTCGGGGCGGCGAGAGACGAGAAGCCACGTGGCGTGACCTGCCCTCGAGTCGGGAGATACGGAGAGGGAGGGGCAGACAAACGCCCAGGGATAAGCAGGAAAGGGAGAGGGGGGGGCACATTAGAGTTTATGCTAAACAATAACAACAATAATTTACAACAACAGCAATAACTTGTCACCCTGCTGCTGCTGCTCTATATAAGAACGGGAGACAGAGCAGAGCCTCACCATTCTGGCGAATTGCCCGATGATGCTGGATGCAATTACCAGCGAAACGTCGTACTCAAATTGTAAATGTTGTGGCTTCAACACACCGGTGGGCTAAAGCAGTGAACTATTTGTCTTTGTCAACGTGACACATTTTAACTGATTGGCCGTGTCGGGCGGTGGAGGGTTACGACACATTTATAAATAACGCGATCTAAACCCAAAAAAGTTGATTATGAAT